CCACCCATTTGCAGCTTGCGCACGCGGTTTCAGCAAAACGGTGCACGGTTTAGCGTTCTTGCGGATTCGTTTCTTGCGCTTTCGATTCTTGCGGATTTCAATTCTTGCCGATTTTTACAAATAAATTCATGCGACTTTAATGCAGTACTTCGGAATTATCTTATTTTTTGTCTATTTCCCTATTAGTAAATTCATTGTTTGTTTTCATTAATATTGTTCACACTCTCATGAATAATCTGCTGAATTTTGTTATAAAGTGGAAAAACTGCCTAAAATGGGTCAAAATGAAAGAATTCCGAAGTACTGTGTGAAAGTCGCATGAATTGTAAAAACCGCAGCTGTTTCCTCTTCAGGACCGGCTAGGCGCTTTTAAAGAAATTTTCAGTCAAAAGGTTCTTCGGCGCAGGACAAGAACAAGATTTTTGAAAAAATACATTTTCCGGATTGTTCGACAAAAATCTGTAAAAAACAAGCAAACGAACCCTAAAATTAAATTAAATTATTGTTATTGTATTTTTAGGTTACGGTAGTTATTGTTGTAGGACCTTCGGCACGCCTCCGATTCTTTGCATCAAAGATAGCGGAAAAATACCTGGAACTTCAGAAAATGGTTTATTCAATTTTTTTTTTTTTAATACAGTCAAAAAACAGCAAATACACAAAAAAAGGAACATAAAAAGAGAGATCCATGAAATAAACCAGTGATTCACATAGATTAATAAATATCCATCGATATGGCAAATACCCGATTCTCCAGATTTGCCTATTTTACAAAATTAAGAGTTGCCTAATTTGACAAATTCCCTAAATATCACACGGTTTCGAATAACTCGGTTTGTACAACAGGTTATGAGTGCTGTTGAGCCGAGACGACGATGAGTTGCCACGTATTGTGATTATCGATTCTGAAAAATTCAGAATTTCCTAAAATTCTTTTTTAAAGGCTCACCTTTTAATGTAGTGGTCATTGTACGATTTGGTGTCACTACAGTATTGTACACATTGAATTTCGACATACTGGCAAACCATCGAATTACGGGAAGTGTTCGAGCTTGGTTGCGAAATCTAGAAAATTCAAAAATTCAGATTTTAAAAAACATTCAGGATTACTGTACCTTGTAGAGTACTTGTAGTAAAAAACGAATGCACACGATGAGTTGACAACGACCAAAACGTTATTGACATCGTTCAAAAAGTAGCCGAAGGCGCTTTCGAAAATTCGTTCATAGCAGATTTCCAGAACGTTTAGGACAAAGGAGAAAATGTAGCAGACTAGGAATACTGTAAATTGAAATTATTGGTTTCAATGGATCGTAGGACTGCGTACCTATAACAACCATGATCATCATTTTCGCTGTGGAATGTTCTCGCCGCACACTAGCCACTAGTTCCCGACGTTGTTCGGATGCTCTGATGATGGTTCGAGCGACCTGGAATGTTTTTTTTTAATTTTTTAATTTTCGAAATTTAGACAATTTTGGAAGGTTCGAAATTTTTAAGTTTTTGAATTCTCGTACCGTAAAACCTGTAAAAGAAGGGCTCCTTAATTTCTCACTTTGAGCCAGTTTTTCTCGATTCCTGTGAAAGATATCAAAAAGTTGTCAACTGATAAAATACGGCTGATAATATGATAAACAATTTATCAGTTGACAGATTTTTGATATCTTTGACAAGAACTGAGATAATTCAGCTCAAACTTGACAATGGTGGGGGGAGGGGGACTCCTATTATAAGTTTTACGGTATTTTAGATTTTCGAAATTTCGAAAATTTGAATTTTGGAAATTTTTGATTGTCGAATTTTTAAATTCCAAAGTTTTTGAATATCTGAATTCTCGATTTTTTTAAGTTACTGAACTTCTGAATTGCTTGAAGTTTTAGCATTTTTGAATTTTTGAATTTTCAAAAATTTTGAAAATTTCAGAATTTTTGAGAAAATAACAGAAAATTCATAAGCATGGAAAAACTCAGAAGGTCCAGGAAATTCAAGATTTCAATATTGCCGTACTACAAACCTTTATTTTGATAAAATGCCGTAAGACCTGTAATAGGAGGGCCCTTAACGTTTCACTTTGAGCCCATTTATCTCGGTTCCTGTCAAAGATATCAAGAAGTTGTAAACTGATAAATTGTTTATCATAATTTCAAAAACATTTCATCAGTTGACACATTTCTGATATCTCGTTTATGAAGCGAGATAGTGGAGCTCAATTAGCACGGTTAGGGTTGGCATTACTGTAGACGGGTCTCCAGACTGTCAATTTTGACCTGATTTATCTCAGTCCTTATAGAAGATATCAAAAAGTAGTCAACTGATAATTTGTTTATCATAATATCAAAAACATTTTATCAGTTGACACATTTGTGATATCTTAAATGGGAATCGAGATAATTAAGCTCAAACCTAACAGGCTTTTCTATTGCAGGCTCTACAGTATGCAAATGCGCTCTTCTGTACCTGAATATTGAGTACACACAGTACCACCAATGGAAATGCAAACTGGGTGATCATAGTTGCCACATTTTGGTACCATAACAAGAAATATCGATTCGCTCGAAGCATTGGGATGACCATCTCCTCGATGGTCCGATTCTCCTCAGGCACATCAAAGTTTATAGTGTACTCCCAAAACCTGACAGCGTTATAGGCCAAACTGAACAGTACAACCACTCCTACAGTAAGCAGTGCTCGATTTCGGGTAGAGTAGGTGTTGACCTTGAATGGATGACAGACAGCCAGATATCGGTCAATGGTAATGGATACCAGTAACCATACTGACATAGATTGGAACATAATAGTGAATGGGTACAGATAGACCATGATCATGGCAGTGACTTCTGGAGGTATCCATTGTTGTAATTGGGTGCTGGCGAAGACGGGAATCGCCAGAAAACACACGCTGAGATCTGTGGCAGATAGTGCGGACAGGAGCACATTGATGCTTTTCTTCCGGAATGTTCGACGGGTGTAAATGTAGAGGGAGAGGAAATTGGTGATGATGCCAAGGAAACACATTAGGGTCAACACTGTGACCATCACCCGGGAGAGTAGATCCAACATTTGTAGTTTGTAGTTCGCTCTCTAGGATCAACAGTGCATTTGGCAAAGTTTCTGGAACAAATTAAGCATTTTTTGGGGGGAAGGGATTCTGGGAATTTGGGGGGGGGGGGGGGCGAAGAAGATAAACAAACAAAGGATTCAAAGGAAGGAGAAGATCTAGAAGAAGGTCCAAAACCCAAAATTTGAAAAAAAAAAAGAAACTTTTTTCTAGTTTGAAGAGAAGGATATTCTATTAGGATAAATGCAAATTCTCTGTTAGTCTCGCCCGATTTTAATAATTCATTATGTTTGCATTCCAGTGCATTTTTCACTTCCGGGCGGTGCAAATTTGCTCTAATCCCAAAGTCCCAAAAACTCGGAATCTCAGAATTTCAGAATATGGGAATTTCAGAATTTCAAAATCTCAAACATTCAGTATTTTTCGGAATCTCAGAATTTCAGCATCTCAGAATCTCAAAAACTTGGAATTTCAGAACCTCAAAAACTCGGAATCTCAGAATCTCAGAATCTCAGAATCTCAGAATCTCAGAATCTCAGAATCTCAGAATTCCAGAATCTCAGAATCTCAGAACCTCAGAATCTTAGAATCTCAGAATTTCGGAATTCAAGAATCTCAGAATCTCAGAATCTCAGAATCTGGGAATTCCAGAATCTCAGAATCTCAGAACCTCAGAATCTCAGAATCTCAGAATCTCAGAATTTCGAAATTCAAGAATCTCAGAATCTCAGAATCTCGAAATTCAAGAATCTCAGAATCTCAGAATCTCAGAATCTCAGAATCTCAGCATCTCAGAATCTCAGAATCTCAGAATCTCAGAATCTCAGAATCTCAGAATCTCAGAACCTCAGAATCTCAGAATCTGGGAATTCCAGAATCTCAGAACCTCAGAATCTCAGAATCTCAGAATCTCAGAATCTTAGAATCTGAGAATCTGAGAATCTCAGAATCTCAGAATCACAGAATCTCAGAATCTCAGAATCTCAGAATCACAGAATCTCAGAATCTCAGAATCTATGGATCCCAGATACATTGAATCTCAAAATTTCAGAATTTCGGAATTCCAGTACAAAAACTCCAGAATTTCAGAATTCAACAATTCCTAAAACTTTGAATTCGGGCCGTTTTTTCTGGAATTTCAGTATTTTCCCCTAAGGCATTTAGAGCAATTGAAATTGGGGACAAAAACAAAACAATGTCAGGAATAGAATGAAATGAAAAATTGGAAATTGATAAAAGAGAGAGAGAGAGAGAGAGAGAGAGAGAGAGAAAAAAAACATTCGGCGAGAAAAAAACGGGAAAAGAAGAGCACGAACAGGGAGGGCCCCGTTATGAGAGCAATTATGGGGTCCGGAGAAGGGGAGAAAAAGAGCTCCTTGAAGAAAATGGGCGGGGAGTAGTAGTACTAGAATATGAAAAAAATAGATAAAGGAAACGAAAAAGAAGAATATATCCTATTTTGACTTTTTAGTAGGAGATAGCCAGCTTTTAAGTTCTACAAAAGTAATTCAAACTTTTTAGAATTGTCTGAAAATTTCATAGTACACTAAGCAAAAATAGAGCTTCATTTTTGTAGTTGGTAACTTTATTGTAAAATTTCGTACAAATGAGATAAGTAGTATATAAGTCGCGCATATCTCTTTTCAGCTTATCGTAATATCACCAATATTTTATCAGTTGACCTTTTTTTTTATATCTTTCATTGGAGTGGAGATTAATTGGCTCAAAGTTGAAAGTTTGGAGTGGAGGGGGGGGTGGTTTTTCGATTACGGTATCATATATTTTTGCCGGTACTGTATTCTTCAAAAATCAAAAATTGCAGTTTTATATTTTCATGGTAACTAGCTCATCAGGAAAGGAAAAGATATGACGCAAAAAATATTTCCATCTTATATATTTTTTTTTCCAGTTGACTACTCTTCCTCATATTCTTGGAAATTCTCAAGTTGTCTGATCAGTTGATGTCTGTGTACTTTGAACAAAAATACAGTAATCCAAGACAAAAAAAAAAAGAAATTTCGAAAAAATAAAAATAAAATTTGTTACTGAGGAGATAGTTTCCCTTATCTGTTCAAATTAATTGTTACACAAAGTTTTGTCAAAGTCGCATGTTCATGATTTTTTTCTCTCGAAATTTTTTTTGTGATGGCTATTAGGAACCATACAGATAAAACTGATAAACATTTGAAATTGATCAATAGGAAGTCTTATATAAAATTCTGAAGAAAATTCCAATTTGGACTCAATAGAAGGGGCACGACGTCAACACAGATGCTGCCTCATGATGCAGAAGATTCAGATTTCAGAATTATGGATCTAGTTAGGTGTTACAGTAGGATGAGGGGCACAAATTAAGGACATTTTTACCAGTTCTATTGGAAATTAGTCTACTTTGGACCTCGAAACGGGGGGCCCCTCGAGGGGTTGATCTTGTGGACCCAATATTGGAGGTGTCGCGCGGCTACCAGCTGAGCTACTGAGCAATGTTTCAACTCACTTTTCAGCATTCTATGCATAATTGGAATAGATATTTTGGTGCAACGGTACGCGAAAACGGACAACCGGCTGCTCATCGGCGTCTGTCACCCTTTACGCACACTTTAAGCTCAATTATCTCGGCTACTGTAAGAGATATCAAAAAGTTGTCAACTAATAAAATATTTATCATAATGTCACCAGTATTTTATTAGTTTACCAATTTTTTATATCTCTTCTAGGAACCGAGATAATTCATCTCGAAGTTGATGGTACTACTTTTTCAGCAGCACCCTCCGATTTTTGTCAGATGATGTCACGGGGAGCTCAAATAACCATATATTTACAAAAAATAACCAAAAAATATATAAAATTTACAGACAAACCAAAAAAACGAGAACCCCAAAAAACACAATGAGTAATGAAACGAATGTGTGTTCTAGATTCTAGATCTGCAGATCTAGACAAATCTAGACGAATCAATCATCTTACCGCCTTTTCTCCTTTCTCGGAGACGACTAAACAATTCAATTTCCCTTCATCTAATAACCTGCTCAACGAATTTGACACCCCAACTTTCTTTTTGCTTACTAATCAAAAGGTTATAAAGGGAGGGCAGCTAACAAGTGTCGTATATCCTACAAGATGGAGCAGTCGGAGCAAAAAAAAAATTGACTTCTACTTTTTTTTGACGACATCTTGTTGCTTGTGTCCCTGTTTTTGACACGATGAGTAAACCACACATGCGAAATTTTGTTCGTCTTGAATATGTGTACGAAGAAGGCGTCTAATTCAATTTGTATATATAGAGCAATGAGGATCTAGCAGTCTGTCCAGTGTTTCGAAATTTTAATCACTCAAAAACATTTTCGACACATTTCTAATGTACCGAAGAAAAAGTAATGAGGTTCGAATTTTGAATATTTTGAACCTAACAGGAAAAGAAGACGTGCAAATATTCTGGAGACAATTTTTAATATGCTGGAGACGTACTAAAGGACAACTTCCAGGAGATTTTTAATATTTGAGAGAGAGAGAGAGAGAGAGAGAGAAAAGTGAGCAATAAGCGAGACGCTAAAAATCTGAGATGAGGAATGTCGTGGGAATTTCTGAGTATCATGTCTTGGAACTTTTAGATTTATACCTGAGATCTATTTAGAAATCATGAAACTAAAAACTTACAGAAACTTTTTAAAGTATACATTACGGTACATTACCAGTCGTATGTCTATCACTTTTACCCGCTTTTTAATTGAAAAGTGCCAACTTTGTATGGCTTAAAAATACGGTAGATTTTGTTGGCTTCGTTTGAAATTTTCAGAGTATACTAAACAAAAATTGAGCTTTAGTTGACAACTTTTTAGGAAAAATGCACATAAATGAGATAGGTCGCTTGGAAATGACCTAATTCGGAACTCATTTCCTCTAATTCAAACCCATTGAAACAGTCAACTTTGAGCGCAATTATCTCGGTTCTTGAAAAAGATTTCAAAACGTTGTTAACTAATAAAATGTTAATCATAATATCAGCAACATTTTATCTGTGGACCACTTTTTGATATCTTTTATAGGAACCGATATAATTGAGCTCAAATTAAACGGGTTTGGCGAGCTTCAGGAAATACGGTAACAAGTACACGGTCCGACTTATTGTTAGGTCATTTTCCAACGGCTTATCTCGTTTTGATGCAATTTTAGTAAAAGGTAGTCAACTACAAAATTGAAGCTCTATTTGTGTTTAGTAAATCTGAACATTTTCAGTGTTACCTATCAAAAATTTACTGGATTTTTAGACATCCAAATTCGGCCATTTTCAACTTAATCCTCTTATGGAAGGCGAAACTTCACGTCGAGCCAATTTATCTCGGTTCCTGTGAAAGATATCAAAAAGTGATCAGCTGATAAAATGTTTATCATAATATCAGCAACATTTTGTCAGTAGACCACTTTTTGATACCTTCCCTAGGAACCAAGATAAATTAGGACCAAATTGGCGGATAAGGAGCAAAGCAAGTATTTGGGACTTCATATTAAAGGATCTAGAATTCGTGGGCATCAGAATCCTATTAAGAAATTATAGATCAAAATCAAAGGTTTCTAGAATATTCGGAAACCCACACCTGGAAATAAAAATTCTGAAAATCTGATTAAACGAAGGAACCAAAAAAAAACAAAACAGGATCCGTGAGAACCTTCCCATCGAATTTCGTCATCCGGAAATCTGATTTTGAGTAATCGAATACTATTGGAATGCGGCTGAAATGAGCACAGCATATAGAAAAGCAATGAAAAAAGTGATGACCAAGTTATTGGATTCCTTGTCAGCTCATAAAAATTATGGGGTCCCCCCTCGACAGATATAACTGCTGTAATAACTCATTGGGGGAGGATAACCTTATGACTTGTCAGTTAAGAATAAAAGTTTTCAAAAAATTCTAAGCCCCTCGAGGAGTTGAACTTGTGGGACAAGTATTGAAAATGCCGCGCCACTACCAGCTGAGCTACGAAAGCTGAGATAGCCGAGCGAGCATTTCCCGAAAGCCAAAAAAAAAACAAGCGTCGTACTGCTCAAATAACATCATTTATTGAGTTTACTAGGTGAAAGAAATTATTCTAGGAAAATTAAAATTGGTTTTGGTAGTTCAGGGGGGAGTAAGAAAAATATCCAGTGGCACATTTAGATTGGATTTTTGAGATTGGAAATTACTTTTTTTCCTTCTAGAAGTTTTATGAAACCCCAAAATTTCAACACTTTCAAAGACTCAAAAGTTCAAATAATTATAGATTTTTGAAATTTCAAGCTAGCTGACAATTTTGCAGAACGCCAGAATGAACAAAAATCGAATTTCCGAACTCTCGCAGAGTCAGAAAAATAAAATTCTGGATACAAATTTCAAAGAACACTTCTTCTTTTCTACCGTAGTACCGAGCAATAAATAGGGCCCTCCGAAAATGTACTATGTATGGCTTTCCATTATTATTTTTTGCCACCAAGAGGTAAAAAGGTGTCAACATCAGAGGGAAATAAAAGACAGACATCATATTTATATAGTGGCAGAAGAAGGGGAAAAAACAATAATTTTTTTCTGTTTAAAAATAGATTCAGAAGGTCCGGAAGCACTTTTTAATTGCAACGAAAAAGCGTTTTCGAGACTTTTAGGATTCTGAATAGCCATAGAAAAGAGAAGGGGCAGGAAAAAAAAAGAAATCTCAAGTATTTCCTTGTTCAAGGAGGAGCAGTCGCTTTGCAAGATGATTTCTGTGTTCACTTTTTGAAAGGAAGAATTGAAAAGTTAGGATTTTTCAAAAAAAAGTTAGGATTTTTCAAAAAAGAGCAGTTGGTGTCAAAAGGTGACTATAAAAGGGTCTGGCACTTTCGTTCTAATTTATCGTGGTTCCTGTTAAAGATATCAAAAAATGGTCAACTAATAAAATATTGCTGATAATACGATAAACATTTTATCAGTTAATTTCATTTTGATATCTATTATAGAAACCGAGATAATCGAGCTCAAAGTGCACATATAGGATGGGGAGCATTTCCGGTAGACGGATCTGTCA